CAGGCACTGCCGGGGGCGCTTTGTGTGCGCATTGCTCGGGAAGCGGCTGCGGGGCAAGGCCCGCACCTATGGGATCTCCGCAGACCCCCTGCCACGGGCCCTTCTTCCCAGTCTGCAGGGCTCTCGCCCGCGCACATGTGCCGGCTGCTTCCCACCGCCTACCTCTCTGCTTCCCTTCCTCCTCCCTCACTCTACCCGGGAGGAAATGGGGCACTGGGCCAGGAGGCCGCTGGCACTCCAGAAGCAAGCAGCCTTCGAAGGGGCCCGGGCATGCCGACGGGCACGCCAGTGGGCGCAGGCAGAGGGCGCCGTGCGATGCGTACAGAGACAACGTGTGCCCGCCTAATCCTTCATGCCGTTCATTCACCCGGGGCACTGGGGGGAGCTGCAGCGGGGCGTCCTCTCCTGTCGGAATAGTCCCTGAGCGCAGCATGTCTAGGCAGGGGGCAGACGTCGGTGATGAGCTATGGAAGGCTGCCAAGGCCTGCTCAGGAGCCTGAACTGTGGCTAGGATTCCCAGGGCCTTGATCAGATATGGGCTGTCCCATGGAGAAGGGAAAGGAGGTGACATTCATATCCTTTTTTTTTTTTTTTTTTTTGAGACAGTCTCGCTCTGTCACTCAGGCTGGAGTGCAGTGGTGTGATCTTGGCTCTCTGTAGCTTCCACCTCCAGGGTTCAAGTGATTCTCCTGTCTCAGCCTCCAGAGTAGCTGGGAGTACAGTCGCATGCCACCACGCTTGGCTACTTTTTGCATTTTTAGTAGAAACGGGATTTCGCCATGTTGGCCAGCCTGGTCTCAAACTCCTGACCTCAAGTGATCAGCCCGGCTCGGCCTCCCAGCAAAGTGCTGGGATTACAGGCATGAGCTACCGCACCTGACTGTGACATTCACATTCTAAACAAAGCCAGCTGAGGGTGTACGGAATCAACTAGTGTGCCCCTCACTGGGTAGGCCCCAAACTGGGAGCATGAAGAGGTGACATACCATCTGTGGTCTCACAGATGAGGGCTGGTGACAAGGGAAGAAGAGGGGAGGGCTCTGGTTGTGTCCAGAATGACTGAGCCAGCTGGTGAGGGTCACAGACCAGTCATCCATGGAGGGTTGCCCATGGGGTGGGAAGAGGTAGACACCTAGGGGAGTAATGAGGAGATGGGTCTTTGTTTTGACTACACACAAAGATCCTAACAAAGAGGAGTCACTGTTGGTAAGGCCCTGCTCTGTGCCCAGCAATGTGGGAGGAAGTATGGGTCCATGAAGACAGTGCCTGGCAGTGTGCAGCAGGAGAGCCTTGGGTAGGGCAGGGGTTTGCACCTCATCTTTCAGAGCTGAGGGGACAGATGGCAGTTTGGACTCTGGGCTGCTCAGAGGCTGCCTCATGGATTTTTTAGGTTTGACAAAATCAGATTCCCCAGCACCTCTGCAAGCCTTCTGCAATCCTGGCCCATCTCCCAGAGGCCTCTGTGTACTAAGTGCTGCTCCATCCTCCCCCATGCCACCCCTCCCCATACGGATCCAAGCTGTTTCCTTATGAGGTCAAGGAATTCTAGATTTGCCTTCTCTCTAAGGAGCACCCCCCACCCGTTCTGTACCTGCCTCGGCACTCTGCCTTTTATGTCCCACCCCTTTGCCCCACAATCAGGTCCCACCACAGATGGCACCAGGAAGCTGAACTGTGATGTGGGTACCTGGAGCCTAAGTCCACTCCAGACCACTGGAAGCCAGGCAGGCTCCTGAGCAGCAGAGCCTCCATCTTATACAGGGAGAGTCAGGACCCTGTGATCAGGGGAGACTTGTCCAAGAGCCCTGAGTACAGCAATTAATTCATGGAACATTCCCCCACCAGTACCTGGTCCCTGGGGTTGATGACCTGGACAGGCTCAGAGAGTTTCCCGTCAAGGGTAGGGTGGGATTTGCAGTCGTCAGAGGGTCTGGGAAGGGCATGTACAGGAAAATCTGAGGGTCTCCAGGGGGTTCTTCCTGGGAAGTGCAGGCAGAGGAGACATCGTGGTGCAACCAATTCTAAGTCAAGAATAAGAAAACTGTGTTGCTCCTTAAGGATGGAATGGCTGGCAAGCAGTATATGTTGTATAACTTACAATCCCAACGTGATTGAGTTATGAGGAAAAAATATCAACATGGAAACATTCCTCAGTATCTATAACAAGTAGATGATTGTTCACTGAGCTGTTAACATTTTATTTTTATTTTTATTATTTTTTTCTGAGACAGAGTCTAGCTCTGTCACCCAGGCTGGAGTGCAGTGGTGCGATCTCAGCTCACTGCAACCTCCGCCTCCTGGGTTCTCGTGATTCTCCTATCTCAACCTCCCGAGTAGCTGGGATTACAGGCGCCTGCAACTATGCCCAGCTAATTTTTGTATTTTTAGTAGAGACCGGGCTTCACTGCATTGGCCAGGCTGGTCTTGAACTCCTGACCTCGTGATCCACCCACTTCGGCCTCCCAAAGTGCTGGGATCCACTGCGCCTGGCCTTTTTT